AGTCATGGTGCATTCCTTAAAATAAAATGGTCGGAAGCCAATGTGGCAGAACTGGGTGATGGATCCACAGGTATCCCTTTGTACTATCCTCTACACTTTAAGACTTCTGACACCCTGATGGGCACGAACAGATCTCACTGTTTTGGTCTGTGTTTCTCTGATGACCTGTGAGTTGCATAGTTCTTGTGTGTGTGTGTATCATGCTGCAGGAACTTCCCATTTTCGGGCTGGTGTTAACAAGGCAGGATGGCGGAGTGCGTGCTATAGGGAAGAGATGGAAGGCGGACGGCCCTTCCGGCCATGTGCATGCAGGTGGGTAGCCAGAGGAGCTTGGGATAGGGATGCAATATGGAGGTTAGAGAGGTACAGAGGAGGTGGTGAAGGCTTCAGAGTGGTGAGCGGGCTCGGGCACAGGCTTTTCCACCTCTGGTGAGTGGCAGAAGTGTGTGGTGGAGCAGAGCCGCTTCCCTGACAATGCGGTAGTGAAAGAAAAGAAGAGGAAAGGACTCTCGCCCCCCTGGCCTCTTCAAGGGCCCACACCCAATGACTTAAACCCTCCCTCCAGGCTCAATGTCTTGAAGCTTCCACCGTCTCAGCAGTGCCAGGCTGGAGACCAGGCCTTGAACACATGGCCTTTGTGGAAACTTCTAGATGCACACAATAGCAGAGGTCTTAGGTGGCCTCAGTGAGGGCAGAAGTGCAGCTGGAAGGTGCTACAGCGGGAGTGACAGCAGCTACAGATGATGCATTCAGTGGGGCTGCTCAAGAAGGGGAGGAGACGGCTCTTCTCCTGGAGAAGAGGGTGCAGGAGGGAGGGGCCGGGGGCCCAGGGCGCATCAGAGCTAAGTCGCCCCAGGCTGCCCAGGGCTTTCAGCTGGGCTGTGCGGGGCACACAGGAGGCTTCCCTTAGCACTGTCCCCTCAGAATCTGCCCACAGGAGAGGACTTGCCTTCAGTTGTGAGCCCTGCGCAGGAGTTTGTTCCAGATCACCGCAGGGCACAGTAACCTCACCGCATTTGGGGGCGGCCATAACGGACAGCAGCTGCCATTTCTTCTTTCTTCTTAATGTCTCAAGCCCCGTGCCAAACATCTTCAAGCTGTCTCACTTTCTTTCTCCCTCCATTTCATGGGGTAAATGGTCCTTTCATCCTTGGTCGTCATTCCACAGAGGAGGATGCTGTGCTTGGAGAAGTTAAGTCGCAGAGCTGGGGCCCAGCCCAGTGAAGACATGGCATCAGTGCGGGCCAGAGACAGGCTGGACCCCTGCAAGAGGTTCAAGGTTCAGCGTGGCCTGTGCCCGGGCGTGGCCTCGGAAGAGTTTCAGGCAGTCACGCTGGAGGGCCATCTCGTGTTGGCACAGCTGGCCCTTACAGATGGCCCCTTGCCTTCCTTCTTATCCCTCGTGGGCTGCGCAGTCATTTCTGACGGCATGGCGAAGCCAGCTCTGCACTTGTTTCCTCAGCCTCTCCCTGCAAACTGGCTCTGAGCGGGCCACTGCCACCCTTTTCTGCTTTACCAGCCCGGCTTCCTGCCGCTGGGGAGACCACACCCATCTTCCGTGATGTGCCAGACCTCTTTGTGACATGGTCTCTGCATCTCTTCTGCCTCATCTTCTTCCTCTACCCCAGTGGTGAGCATTTTATCTGCTCCCTGGGACCGCCTGTTCATACTGAACCCTTAAGAGATACCAGTTGTTTACCTGTCTTTCCTGTGTGCTCACCTGGGCCCCTCACCCACTCTGTGCCTTTGTCTCCAGGGCTGGTAATGCCCAGCGCACAGTAGGGGCTTGGTAAGAGGGCATCTCGGACATCAAACTGGGAAAAGTCGGTGTTAGATGCGAACCTCCCTGCAGATGCTAGGGTTTTAGAATTGGCATTGATCAGGAAAATGATTTTAAAAGGGGGTGGTTTAGCGAAGTATTTATTTAATAAAGGACAGTGCTACCCTCTCAGCAGAGGCACCTGGGATATAGTATCTGGTAAGCCAGTGAAACTGAGCACATTAGAATCTTCTGGAGTTAAATTTGGAATTAGGACGAGGTAGGAAAAATCTATGCTCATTGACTACAAAATGCAATTGTCTGTCAGTGCAGGAACTGAAGTATCTGCAGCAAATTATATTTAAGACTCTATTGTCACAGGCAGATTAGCTAATGCTTGATTTTAAGTATAGGCTTCTAATGCTATTACTCCTGGTTAACTCTGCCTGGCAGGTAACCTTGTGGAACAAATGACTGCATTGCTTGAATAACGTATTTGATCAAATAGGACAATTCTTTCAAAAATTGAGTTCTCTGTGGCAATTTGAGACCTGTAATCAGCAAATTAGATGATTACTGCAGGGATAAAAATAGTCTTCTAACAATGTCCAAGGTATAAATGTGATTTGAATTTCAAAATGTTGAACATGTGGTAGGAAAATGCACGGTTGGGTAAATATGACTAGACATTATCAGATTTGATTTCTCGTTCCATCCCTGCTCTGAGCTAGAGCCTAATTTTGCCCAAATAAACTCCAATCTCGTTTGTGTCTGAGCTAGAGGACAGAAGTGTATCAGGCACTGTGTTCCGACTCTTAAAAGGGCTCTGCAGCTTCCCCTCTGCCACGGCAGCTGGCGGCCCACATGAGTCCCGGTGGCATTTATCTATCTACTTGGTGTGAAATGTCTTTTGAGAAACAGGAGGAAAGAGGGAAGGGAAAGCCTTCTACACCACCTAAAACCTAAAGACCAGTGTTTATCCCACTGGGCACAAGTGTGCAGAGAAACGGTAGCAACTCTGGTGAGATCGAGGCAGTGACTTCTGTGAGCCGGGAGAGATAGCAGGGTGTGGTCTGTTCTACCACAATCCAGTCCTTTTCCAGGGTGGGCTCATGTTACCCTTCATCTCCAACACAAGAACGTCTGATATCATATACCTGAGATGAACCTTTAGCGACTCAAGGCTGGATATTGTGGCAGGAAGTGCATGGCAGTGCAGGCAAGGAGGGAGACTGCTTTCCTAACGGGGCTCCTTTCCCCAAGCGCATCAAGCTATGAACCCTACAGTGGATTAATGCACTCAGAAGTCAGAGCCTGCATGGTGCAATCACCCCACAAGGGACCCACCTCTAAATACTTCTGCACTGGGGACCCAGTCTTTTAACAATCAGCTTCTAGGAGACCTCTGAGATCCAAACTGTGACAAAGCCCGACCGAGGGCCTGCACCTTCTCCTCTGGCCCTTCTGTCTTTGCTTCAGAGCCTCTGCTCGCCAGGTACACCTGCCACTGTACCTCTGATGCCGCTCGACCTCATCACCTCAGCTGGTTACAGCACAACAGAAGTGATTTGGCAAGGAGGGTGGTAGAGCCAGCCAGGGAAGGCCAATGCTAGCCCCCAACTGCTCACTAGCAAATGGGAGCACCCCAAAGGGGAGACCTGATTCTCACTAGCAGCTAAGTTTCTGACAGAGGTACAGAAATTAATTACTATGGATTTTATCTCCCATCTGCAATTTACCTTTTACTACCACAGATGATTACAAGCTGCCTATGAAGATCCTGACTTCCAGAAATGCAGCATCCCAACAATTCACGTACCAAGCATTCTTGTTTAGTAACACCCTCGACAAGATGGTTTGTTAAATGAAAATTTACATCAGCTGAGCTACCAGAGCCATATTACCACACATTTATCAAGCTCTCAAATTTGTAAAACTTTGGAAATAGAGAAAAATACTTTTATTTTGGTTGTACTGGGAATTGAACCCAGAACCTTCACAGACCTGTATCTTGTCTTTAAAATTTTGAAAGGGACTCCACCTATCTCTTCAGTTTTTTTGTTTTGTTGTTTCAGACAGGGGCTCACTAGTTTAGGCTGGCCTTGAACTATGTAACCTAGGCTGGGCTCCAACTGAGGTGATCCTCCTGCCTCAGCCTCTGGAGTGCTGGAATTACAGGTGTACGGCCACCACACCTGGCTTCTTCAGTGCTATTTTTCATGGAAAATGAAAACTGTAACCACTTTTAGGATTCTGCCAAGTCACTTACAAATGATCACCACTGAAAAGGCACTGCTAAACCAGATGTGGTGGCATGTGCCTATAATCCCAGCACTTGGGAGGCTGACACAGAAGGATCACTGTGAGTTCAAGGCCAGTCTGAACTACATGAGACTGTCTCAAAAAACTCCCCAAATGAATGGTATTAAACTCAGGGCCTTTGCACTGAGTACATCCCTAGCCCTATCCCCAGCCTTTAAATTTTTGAAGCACTGCCCAGCCAGGCTCAAACTTAACATCCTCCTGCCCAGACCTCCCTGAGAGCTGAGGTTACAGGCATGCACCACTTGCTGGGCATGCCCAGCAAGGCCACTTCAACGCTGCCCAACAAGAAGTGCTATTGGCAGGATACAATAGGCTTTCAAGGGGATAATGTCTGTTACCAAGGCCATTGGTGATTCCCCTGCCAGTTGAGGAACAGGCTGTACCCTACAATCCTGGCCTTGAGCTGCAAGTTTTGCTTTGTATGAAAGCCCACCTTTAGCCTGCTATGCTAACAAATTCTCTTACAATTCATCTATAGGTTAAAATGTGCGTTTTCCTTCTATGGAGTAAACAACCCTCAAGAATACTCCTAGGTGTGGAAATGACTTTACCACCACAGCCCCCGATGGCTAATGACCCTGGCGTGAGCAATGACTTGTGGGGGTCACCATGGGAGAAGCCACAATTCAAAGCCTCTCTCAGAAAAAAAATATTTTTCTTTTGGTTGTACTGGGGATTGAACCCAGAACCTTCACAGACCTGTATCTTGTCTTTAAAATTTAGATAGGGACTCCCCCTAGCTCAGGAGACCAGGGTGCTACACCAGTAGCTCACTCCAAAGTTTTATTTTCAATGTATTTCCTTGAAAGACCTCACCTTCCAGAAGCATAAAAACAAAAAAGAGAACTTGATGTAACCACTCCAAAAGTTGGCTTCTAATTTAAATTACCAGATATACCTCATAAAAACAGCTGTCTCAAAGACAGTATTATCTTTATTCAACAGGGATAGATATAGCAGCACTTGCAAGAGTTCATGAAAGGCATGGTCCACTGCCGATGACAGTGTCTGAAGTGCAGCCCTGCCCCGCTGTCGTGGGCTCTGCACCCCAGTGAGGGCTTGACCGCGTGCGTCACCCAACACCACGCAACTCAGAGCACCCGCGTGGAGATCAGCGAAGCACGGGCGCTCCTCCACTCGAAGCCTTTCTCATTTCTGTGAAGTTGATCAAGCCAAGTATCACCTTCCTTAGCAGCATCTGGAGCACGCGTTGGTGTTCGGGAGGTGGCTGGTGTACTTGACCCACTTATTTAAAAAAACTAAGCATTTAATAAAAATATTTCTCCCTGTCCAAAGCCATCCACAGAAAAACTTGTCACAGGAGAGACACTCTTCCACTTAAATATCTGTAAAAGCTAGCACAGGCCTCCGCTGCAGCACACAGAGAGCGAGGGGCAGGCACTTCCACACAACTGTCTGTGGCGGAGAAGGCTGGTGTGGTCACGCCGTGTCTGGCTCACTGCTCTGCTTCTTACTGCTCTGCGGCGGGGTAAGCACTCCGGATGGGACAGGAGAAAGCCTACTCTCTTCCAACAATATGGCTTTCTTTGCTTGGGCTTTGTCCTGTTGATTAGAAAAAAGGGGAGTGGTTAAAACAGAAGAACTCATCCTTCATTTTATTTATTATATGGTTTTTCTACAGAAGCAAAGGGAGAAAATAGCAAAAACCAATCTAAAAGCACAGCCTTGAAAAAAAAATTTTAAAAAAGCACAATCTTATGCAATAGGAAGATATGGCATCTATAGACCGGAAGTTTCCTTTTCCAAGGAATTAAAAGAATTAGAGTTTTTCTAGGATTGCAAGCTCAAGCCCTATGTGGGCAACTTAGTGAGACTCTGACTCAAAATAAAAAATAAAGGAAGGCTGGAGATACAGATCGGTGTGAAGGCTATTGGTTCAAACCCAGTACCACACTTAAAAAAAAAAAAGTCTCATTACATAATTCAGGCTGGCCTTGAATTGACAGCAATCCTCCTGCCTCAGCCTTCCAGAGTTCTGGGACTACAGGGGGTGCACCACACCCAATTGGGGGAATTTTAGTAAGGATCTGTCTGGACAACAAAGAATGAAACAAGAACAGTAAATACCAGCAAATCCAAGCTGTTGATGTGAGTCTGTATGTTGTGGGAATCTTCAATAGGCACTCCCCGGAAGTGCTTTACTTTGGAATTTCCTGCCTCCCTTATAACCATGGCAAATGGAATCATCCATTTGACACACTTCTCTATATCGCACCACTGATACCCTGCAATGATAAGAAATTATAGGCAGGATGTGAGACTCTGCATGGTCTGTAAATTAAGGCACCTTGTTTAGGAACTCATCAGAAAGTCAACTTACCTGAAACTTTCTGCATCATTTCAGATGAAGTGAAATGATATAAGGCAGAAGCAGCAAGGACACCATAAGGAAATTCTAAGCAGCCAACATCCAGAACACAGAGATCTAAAAGCTATGTAGAAAAGAACACAGGCTGACACGTTTCTTCTGGGGTTCCTCGCTCTACCAGGAAAGCGGAAGCCCACAGGGGCAATGGAGCCACTTACCTCTGCGACCTGTATAAAGATGTGCTGCGGATACTGCGGCAGCAGCACTTCATACACGTCGTTCAGATATGCAACCTGCATGTACACATTCAGCCAGGACACAATGGTCAGGGGACTTAAACGCCACTTCAGAGCCTACAGGAAAACAGGACAGAGAGCAACAGTTGTGAAAAGAAGCTCAGAATGCAGCTGTGTTCCATCCCACAACATGTCCAGCTGGAGAAGACCTAGCAGATACACCCGCACTTTGTGTGGGGAGAACATTATATGTGTGTTTAAAACACGACTGGAAACTAACTTGTAACGGACCTGCATAATCACTAATTCCATGGTGAGAATTTCATCTCCTGAGCAAGCCCCATCCGTAACGTAAGCAAACTGGTGCAACTTGGGAGGATAGATTTCCTACAAAGAAATAAAAGGAAAATATCAGTAAAAATCCACTCTCTAATGCTTCAAACTTGTAATATGCATCCAAAATTACTACTTCCGGCATTCTGGAAGGAAACAGGATGCAGTGATGAAATCAATACAGGACATATGTTAGCAGAATATGTAAATGAATACACAGATATACGTAACTTTTCCTCATATGTTTGAAAAGTTTCCCCCTTCTCAATACCTTTAACAATATATTTGAAAGTTGGACAACACATTTCTTTTATAATTATATCAAATTAACCTTTGAAGTTGTTTTTCATTTAATGTTAACTAATTTAAATGTCCTATCTACTCATTCCTCCCTCATCTCTCATCTGGTTAGTTCCCAGCTCTTCTGGATATATTTTAACAGAGAAAAACAGATGAACCAGGTGTGGTGGCATATGACTGTAACCCCAGCACTTGGGAGGCTGAGGCAGAAGGATCACTATGAGTTCAAGGCCAGACACAATGGACTACAGTCAGTTCTAAGTCAGCCTGAGCTACATAGCAAGACCATGTCTCAAAAAACTGGGGAAATATATATATATATGATATGCATCATAAACAAATAGCTGACCTCTTCCCTATCTCAATAGAGCTCAAGAAACAGCACATGTTATGTCACAAATATTTGAAAATTATTTACCTCAAGTTTGGCAGCAATAAATAAAGATGAAATCCCGATAAGCTGTAAAAGTGTTTTTACAATATTTTCTTGTGTTGCCATATACCGATCAAAGAAATCTTGTGCCAAGTAAAATGTCTCCCTGTGAAGTTTATAGACTTCACACACCTGAAAAAAAATATTTAGTATGTTTTAGAACAAGTTACTCAGAGCCGGGTATGATATAGCTCAGTGGCATAAGTGCTTGCCTGGCTAAGCCGGAGGTCCTGAGTTCGATTCCTGGTAAAAAAAAACACAAAAAAAAAACAGAAAAAGAACAAGTTACTTGAAGGAAAAAATAAATAATCACATAAAGAGAGTTAAGAAAGGTAACTACTTTTCTGAGAAGATGGGTCCCTGGGCTGACCTACACACATGCACAATGAAAAACCAAAATTCAGACATAAGGATTAAATGTTCTATGATCTATACAGTAATAAGAACAAATGTTCATAGGCCAGAGAAGAGAGGTTTCAAAGCCTGGTGAAAGCAGCATTTTTATACAATAAATAAATCCAAATTTTTAAATTTTCTCAATGTTTCCTTTCCTTTGTAAGTTTTATTAAAACTTAAGGAAAGAACTAGCAAATTTCCTTACAACTGAGCAATGCCAGTGAGAAAGTTGAAAAGCTGGAATACACATTTATTTAAAGACTTTCTGGGCATGGTGGCGCATGCCTGTAATCCCAATATTTGGGAAGCTGAGGCAGGAGGACTGTTCCAAGTTTGAGACTAATCTGGGCTACAAAGTGAGCTCAAGGCCAGTCTGAACTGCAGAGCGAGACCCTGTCTCAAAAAGACAAAAATAAGTAGATAAATAAAAACTATAACATGCCCTGAACACTACACCATAAGAGCCAAAAGCTTTGTTAAAAAGCATTAAAAAGACCCAGAGAGCTGGGTTGTAGGACAAGCCCATTTCTTTCAGGGATTCCAAATTCTGTAACTTTTAGGACTCAAGACTGCTGAGGATTTGATAAAATAAGCGTATGCATGATGGGGTTGAAAAAGCCCAGGAAAACAAGTCAACTCAGTACTACCATCAAAAGTCTGGCTGTACACATGCAGCTCTCACTACCGCACTTCCGCCCCCTACCCCTTGAACAGGATGTACCCAGTCAGTGTAATTCATGGGGTCAGCAAGCAGAAAAGGAGCCAGAGAAACCAAACACAAAATTCTACTAGAAAACCCCATCAATCACCACAGTCTCCAAAGTCCAGATTAAGCTATATGTAGCTATTTATAAAAATATTCCTTAAAAAAAAACCTAGCCAGTGTTCCTTCAAAGTATAAAGGCATCGACCACATTACATAAAATAGAGCCTCACTGGGTATGGTGACACATGCTTATAATCCCAGTACTCGGGAGGCTGAGACAGGAGTACTGCTGCAAGTTTGACACCAGCCTGAGCTACAAAGTGAGCTCAAGTCCTGCCTGAACTGCATAGCGATACCCTGTCTCAAAAAAGACAAAAAATAAAATAAAATAAAATAAAATGGTCTTGTTGTGTGGTTTAGGCCAGCCTTGAAGTCACCATGTAGTCGAAACTAGCCTTGAACTCACAGCGATCCTCCTGCCTCAGCCTCCCGAGTGCTGGGATTACAGGTGTGCGCCACCACGCCCAGCCAGTACTGTCCACTTTTATGGAGTAGCTGAACACTCAACTTCTACATATACTCTTTCATGAAATGGATCTGTTGAAATTGTCCTTCCACTTCTCAAAAGAAAAACTCACTTCTGGCCCACCCAAGTTTTAGGGTATCTAGAAAACTGCCCTTAATCAAGGCACTGTAAGTCACATACAGTTCATCCCAATAAGAAGTCTACTGCCAATAAAATTTCACTTGATACACTTGTTTATATACTTTTACAATTTATGATAATTGTTATCAAATAGCAGATATGTCCATTCCAGTGGACACATTAAAGCAATTAAGAGCCGGGCGTGGTGGCGCATGCCTGTAATCCCAGCACTCGGGAGGCTGAGGCAGGAGGATTGTTGCGAGTTCGAAACCAGCCTGGGCTACAAAGTGAGCTCAAGGCCAGCCGGAACTGTATAGCGAGACCCTGTCTCAAAAAGACAAAAAAAAAAGGGGGCTGGGGATTTAGCTCAGCGGCAAAAGCGCCTGCCTAGCAAGCGCAAGGTCGTGAGTTCAGTTCCCAGTACTGGAGAAAAACCAAAAAAAAAAAAAAAGCAATTAAGGAAACAAAGCTCAAATAGCAATATTTATAATTTATTAGAATTTTTTTTGTTTGTTTTTTTGTGACAGGGTCTCACTTTTTAATTCAGGCTTTGGTCTTACTATGTTGCCTAGGCTGGCCTTGAACATGTGATAGTCCTCCTGCCTCAGCCTCGTGAGTGCTGGGATTACAGGTGGATTACACGTGTGCACCACTACGCCCAGCCTTCTGCAACCTTTGATGGAAAAAATTAGATGCCAACTTTAAAATATTTTAGGAGCAAAGAAATTTAGAAAATTCTTCTAAGAATGCAAGTAGTCAGGGGTGGTTAGGCACGCCTATAATCCTAGCACTCAGGAGGCTGAAGCAGGAAGAGGATCACCAAGAGTCTGAGGTCAGCGTGAGTTACAGTAAATTCAAGGCCAGCCTGAACCACATAGTGAGACCCTCTCAAGAAACCAAAAAAATGTATAAGTAAACCTGGGCATGGTGGCACATTCCTATAATCCCAGTACTTGGGAGACTGAGACAGAAGGACTACTTTGAGTTCAAGGACAGTGTGAGCTACCTAGTGTCTCAAAGACTCCCCCAAAAAACAAACTAATTAAAAACATTAGAAAGACCACTATAGTAAACACACCATGCAGCTTCAGAGATACAGAAGGTATCAACCAAAACACACACATGAATGAGATCGTAACAGCATAGAAGAATCTAGAAATGGTCAATCCTTCAATGAATGAAAAAACTTGAACTCACCTCCATTAACCAATCCAGAAGAATTGCTCGCATTTTAGGCTGTAGAAGAGGATGTCGCTGCAAAAAGTGCTCATCGCGTATGTATGTCTCTTCCTTGTTTAACATGATTTTCCAAACCTCCTCTCTATTGGCCCAGCTATTAAAAACAAGCAAAAAACAAAAACCCCATCTGTGTAACAAGGCCTGAGGAGACGGACTGAGAGCAAGTAGCCACGCGGCAGAGTCAGCGCTTACTTCAGTACGGGCAGCGGCGAGGCCCTGGGTGGCGGGGCTGATTTCCGAGGCACGAATGTAGAAATTGGATATTCTGGCTCACCGTCTTCTTTAGCAGGTGTGGGCATCAAGGAGGGGTTTGCACATACTGTATTATTGTCGCAAGACTGTGAATGAAAAACACATTTTACAAGGTTTGATGTAAAGCAGCTAGTTGTACACTCACTAACTTGTAGATCAGAAGTACTGTAAAAATATCTCCATACCAGGGAGTGATCTCCAGGCCTCCTTTTTCTTGCCTAAAGATGAAGATGGCATGGATAAGTAAAAGCCACATGCAGTAATGACTCTTGGCTTTCCTTTCATTTCTGTCACTAGCTTAGTAATCTATGCAGTACATTTCTAAGAAAACTAGGAAATCTTTAGCATTTTATCCTCCACATCATCGCTTTCAGGTGAGGTGCTTGAACAGCAAGAGACATGGGAAAGGTAAGATAAAATGCAAACAGCTCATACATTACGAAAAAGACTAGCCAAATACGTCACACAGTGGGGACCTTTTGTTTTCCCTAACTCAAAACAGCAAGCATAGCCACCTAGTTAAAACTAAATCAAGCAGTGGTCACAGGTCATATTAAGAAGTCCATAGAGACAGACACTCCTGAAGACCTTTGAATCCTACCCTAGAGCCTAGCCTTACAGAACAAGACTTACATATCTGATAAATGAGCTACGGTATCTTTAAAAATCAAAATAAAACCGAGTGTGGTGGCGCACACCTGTAATCCCAGCACTTGGGAGGCTGAGGCAGGAGAATTCTGGCAAGTTCAAGGTCAGTCTGGGCTACAAAGTGAGCTCAAGACCAGTCTGAACTGCATAGCGAGACCTTGTCTCAAAAAAAAAATAAATCAAAATATGCTTTTATCTGAAAGACTGCAGAGACTTACTTTTATTTAATTTTCTATATTTGAGAAAGACTAAGGTTATTTTGCCATTTAGGATAATTTCTGCTATAAAATAATGACTGAAAGCCAGGCATGGCGGCATATGCCTGTAATCCCAGCATTTGGAGGCTGAGGCAGGGATATTGTTCCAAGTTCAAGAACAGCCTGTGCTACAAAGTGAGCTCAAGGCCAGCCTGAACTTCATAGCGAGACCCTGTCTCAAAAAGATAAAAAAAAAAAAAAAAAAAAAAAGACTGAAAGAACTGCTAAGCAGATAGTAATACTGCTAGTATGGAAGCCCTGGGAGTCCAATTTGGACTATTGCTAACCATCTCTGAGTCCTTACGACACTGTTCTTCCTTATATAAAGTTTTCCGAGGCATTTAATAGTCTAGAATTCTGCTTCAGATAAAAATGCGGGGTCTCTTGTGAAAATTAGACAAAAAAATGGACATGGGAAGTAGATTTTAGGTATCAGGGCATTCTATCCATTAAGAATGGCCTCAGATTAAGAATCATCAAAAGTTCTGTGGTCTTGAAGCAGACCATAGAACTCTTGTCATTTTTTTTCTTAATCAGAGACCATTAATGTTAACCAGGTTGGCCTCAAATGAGCATAAATGAACAAGGATTCTCCAGCTACATGAGCCCCTTCCCAGACAAAATATACAGGGCCACCTTAAAGGAACCCCAATCACCTCACCCAGTGAAAAAAGCAGAGCTGGAAAGGGCTCTTCTCCACTCACTGTACAAAGAATTGGGCATGCAAATTATCCACGACAGCTCCTGCCAAAAGCTGTGCAAGAAAGGCAACTTCCTTTCAGTTCTAGTATCATGTGCTGGTAGCATTTCCTTGACTCAAAAAGGTTCACATTACAAGTGCTCTAAGTTGCTCCTCGTTCAAGAATGAATTCTAGCTTTGGAGGCACAAGGGTGCCACCCTCCAAGGCCAGATGGCTGGCATGTGTGAGAGCAAGCCTTTGGAGATAAACTGGCAGCCCTTCCCAACCTCCAGTTCCTAGACAAATTAGGTGAACCACAGCAGAAAAATGGTTTCCAAAGTAGGCTTTTTAAGGAACCAGTGGATGAGGCAGAATAATCTATGCTCTTTACCTTGGTATATACCAAGTTTGAAAGGAACCAAGGTATGTTTGACTTTATCGATGAAGGAAAGAGATAATGGCAAGAGACCAACTTTAACTATTGCTAACCATCTCTGACTCCTTATGACACTGTTCTTCCTTACACAAAATTTTCGGAGAGACATTTAACAGTCTAGGATTCTGCTTCAGATAAAAATGCTGGGTCTCTTGTGAAAATCAGACAACAAAATGGACATGAGAAGTGGATTTTAAGTAACAGGGCATTCTTTCCATTAAGAATGGCCTCAGATTAAGAATCATCAGAAGTTCTGTGGTCTCAAAGCAGTTACACTGAACTTAGCATGATGATTCCTACCAAAAAGTTGGTCAGGGATGAACTGTAACTTCAGAGAAAAATTCTGTGTAATTAACAAAAAAAAAAAACTGTTGTACCTGCAAAATCTTGTTTCATGAATCTTCACAGGGGAAGAACAAAAATATCACCTCATAAATAGGTGGATAATTTTCAAGCTCTAGCCTACAAGGTGTGCAGAAACCTGTTGTTATTTATCTCTGGACAGCCATGAAAATGCCTTCTCGTGAGAAATACACTAGCCATGCACCACAGCTATCACCTCTCTGTGGCCCAGACACAAAGCCAGTCCTGCTCTAGACACTCAAAGCACTACTTAGGTTATCCCTGAGAAGAGGAATCTAAAACTCCAAGAAGTCACTGCGGACAGCTTCATTTCATCTTCAGTTGGAAACTGCTGTTCAAAACACAGCTGGGAAAATAAATAATCTGCAATTGTACAAAGCAGGGACCCATTTCATAATATCCATAAAATCAACTTGCTTGATTTAAGTCTTTTTTAAGGGAAAGACAAAAGAAAGAACTTGGGATTCAGTGTCTTATTGTCTTTCCTGCAGTGAAACATTTCTTAACAGAGAGGGAAACGAACCCCTTATTCAGTATTCAACGCGTCCTCCTCAAAAATGCTCGTTACTAGGCCCCTCTGGACAGTGACATCTGCTATATTATACAAGGTGGCCACTGCTTTAAAGCCTGTCCCTCTTTTACAGCAATTGCCGTGGCTGCCGCTCACAGCTCCACAAAGTGATGTGCTGTCCTTGCTAACCCAGGGGGCCACTACACTCAGGTCGAACACTGCTCCTGCTCATTTTTTTTTTTTTTTTTTTCCTCAGGTACCGGGAACCGAACTCACGACCTTGCGCTTGCCAGGCAGGCGCTTTTGCCGCTGAGCTAAATCCCCAGTCCCTTCCTGCTCATTTTTTATCTGTGATAGAGGCAGGCCAAAACAACTAGTTTGGAGAGAGGCTGCTTCCCCTACTGGAGCCCTAACTACAGTCTCCAGCCATTTCTGGAGGTAAAGAGATAATAGAGACTGACTCTGTAAGGAACTTCTGATACTATAATGATATCATGCTACATGCAAGAACTTTGGCAGGAATTCCTTAAGGGGCAAGAGAAATGGCGTAATGAATAAACAAGTGTTGAGATACCCATATTGTGGATTGTCCCATTAATACCCTTGCTGAGGCCATGTTGAACCCAAATAGAAAGGTAGGTAATTGGCTGGAGTTTTTTTTTTTTTCTTTTTTCTTTTAAAGATAGGGTCTCCCTAGGTTGCTAACTTACAGACAGCCTAGACTCAAACTCAAAATCCTCCTGCCTCAGCCTCCCACAGTGCTGGGATTACTGACCTGTGCCATCACGCCCGGCTTAGATCAAATCTTATATACATTTATTTTTAGAAACAGAGGCTATAGTATAGGCTGGCCTTGAATTCACTGTGTAGCCCAGGTTGGCCTCAGACTTATGGTGATCCTCCTACCTTACGCTGCCAAGTGCTGACATTATAAGGGTGCCACCACACTTAGCCAGGGTAGGAAATTGTCAGATGGGCTAGAACAGTGGTGGCCCAACCTATGGCACAGGTATTGCAGTGGGCTGTTTGTATCAACGGAAGCTCTAAAAGGTTTGCCATCACTGGGCTAGGACCACAAAGGGTAAGCTTGACCTAAAGGCAAGGGCAAGCCGGGTGTGGTGGCGCATGCCTGTAGTCTCAGCATTTGGGAGGCTGAGGAAGGAGGATTGCCTTTAGTTGGAGGCCTGCCTGAGGTACATAGTTCAAGGACAACCTGAACTGCATGGCGAGATCCTGTCTAAAAAAAAAAAAAAAACCAAAAAATCTACAGGCAATGGAAAGTAGTTCTTAAGCACCACGACAAAAAAACACGGCTGAGTTCGGGGCAACGCAGAGATTCTACCCTCACTTCACCAGCCACTGGAAAGCCTGTAAGCCAGCTCTGCCTCCGGCTAGCACAGGACTCTGGGTTGCTTTCTTCCAGAGTCTCAGTTTCCTCACAGGCAAGGGGAGAGGAGAGATGTGCTCTGTGGTTCTCCCAAATCATCAGAACGTATCTGTGACTTCAGAGGGCGCCAGTCAAGAACACGGCCCTGGGGCTGGGGATTTAGCTCAGCGGCAAAGTGCCTGCCTGGCAAACGCAAGGTCGTGAGTTCGGTTCCCGGTACTGGAGAAAAACCAAAAAAAAAAAAAAAAAAAGAACACGGCCCTTCCTGGAATCCCAAAGCTGCGGAGGCCAGCGTGCAGGACAGACATGGCGCCTGGCCATATGGACTGGGACTCCAGTTAAGAGGAAAACTAACCCTACCTACGTCTTCAGCAGCGGAGGAGAGAGTATGAACCCACCGGGGCCCAGAAGAGCAGGAGGCCCTCCATGCAGGTCCAGTCCACCAGTTAGTTGACTTACCTGACTGCCACATTGGCCTCTGGAAGTCCTGTCAATTTTGGCAACTTCTTCGTCAGGGTCCTGCAGAAACTAACATACAAACCCACCCCAAGGAAACACACCAAAGACAAAAACAGAGAGAGAAAAGAGGGAAAAGTTCATTAGAACATGTGCGCCGTTTCTGCCAAAGGGATGCCCCCCCGCAAGCCGGCCCCAGTCGATCCACGTGTGGGCAGACCCAAGTCTGGTACCCAGCCTAGGATGGAAGGGGGCAAAATGCTCAACCTGTCCTCTTTGTACTCACAACGGCCACGTTTGCCTTCCTTTTCCTGGAGCGCACGGAGACGTCGGTGCCACCTTCCTCTTTCATGGTGTCCTGCTCCTTGGCATCTCTGCAGAGTCGTGGCGGCAGAGGTAGGGGTGAGCGCTCCCCAAATCTCGGCCCGCCCCTCCCCCACCAGAGCGCACCCGTCCCCTCCCCGAGGCAGCCGGGCCACTCACCTCTCCTTCCTTTCCCTTGGCATGGCGCAGGGCTCGGGCTCCGACCTCAGACCTGGGGGCACGGAGCGGGCAGCGGGGTGAGGCGGCC